AGGCCCACTGTTACAGGGCCCTGAGCCAACCCCTGCATAAACCCCAAGCCCCTATGCTTAGACCCTAAACCCCAACAAAACCCGAAACCTTGAAAAGACCCTCAAACCCTAAGCTTCACTAAACTCCTAAGCCCTTAAGTTTTAAGTTCGAGGTTACAACCAGCGCTGGCTTGAGGTAGAGGCCGGCAAGGGCAGGGGCGAGTGTTCAGCAAGGGCGCTTAGGGTTTAGGGGTTTGGGGCTTAGGGTTTAGAAGGCTTCCTTTAAGGGCCCTGTTTTGGTGGTTTAGAGTTCAAGGCCTTTGGGTCGGGGTTGAGAGTTTAAGGTGTAGGGCTTCCCGCAACCGTGCAAAAAACATTGCACATTATACCCTAGAGTCCGAAATCCACATGGACCCATTAGATAGACCCCTGAAAGGAACCTTCAAGCCGAACCGTTGAAAAGTGGCATCAGTGAGGGTCAGCAATATCCTGAGATCCCCTGGCGGCTTTGGATATAAGACTTTTGGGCATAGCAATGATAGTTAAGCATACTACTCGTTGTCTGGGTTTACGCTCTCACGAAGCACCTTGAATAAAGGGACTGTCGACAAGGAGTTCAGGGGTTAGCGGGTTGGAGTTAGGCTTAGCGACGTTCAGGGTTAGGCTTTAACACAAAGCTAGACAACAAAGCAACATGGGTGCTGACACGCAGTATACTATGTACTGGTCCCGTGATTCCGGATGTTCTTTGGAGCTTTTGCTCGGCATTCGTTTTCAATATCGTAGCAATTAGTAGCGTCTATACGGGAGTTTCCGAAAATAGGGTACCCTACCATAGTACACTAAATAGTAGGATCCTTATTATAAGGACCCCAAAATAAGGTACCCCCTAATTTTCGGAAACTCTAAACCCCTAAACCCTTTATTAATAGAACCAAGGATCCCTTTAAAGGGACCCCCCCGCGCCCAATTTTCGGAAACGCCCAAACACCGACTCTGAAATCTCTGGAAGAATGTGGTTTCTCATCTCTGGGCCCCTGCCCTGATCATCAAGTAGACTACTTATAGGATCCTTAAGGGAGGGTGGTTCAAGGGGGGAGGGTATAGGGTTTAGGGTTTGGGGTTTAGGGTTTAGGGTTTAGGGAGGGTGGTTCAAGGGGGGAGGGTATAAGGAATCCTTAGGGGACTGTAAGGGAACCTTAGGGAGTACTAGGGAGAATTAGGGATCACTAGGCTATATACCCCCCTTGGACCCCCCTCCCTTAAGGATACTATAAACTACCTTTGTTTAGGGTTTAGGGCTCCTTTATCAAATAGGGTTTAAGGTTTAGGTTTTAGGGTTTCTTTCTTAAATAGGGTTGAGGGTTGAGGGCATTTAAACGTATATTTCTTAAACTTACCCCAAGGGTCCAAAGGACACACCAATTAGGTACTCGGTTTTAGGATAGTAGTTTTGTAGCTTAGGCTTCTGGAGAGTATATGATTATCAGGTACTTGGACCCGTGGGGCTATAGGAGCCTTAATAATCACCTATAAGAATTGCGGGGGGTCCTTATTACAGTTATGGTATACTGGGCCCGAAACCCCATTCTAATTATTAAGGCCCCTAATTATACCTACAGTAGCCGGAAGCACCCGAAACCGTAACGGCCCCAAACACGTGAAAGCGTACAGCTGTAATGGAGCTTTGTTCCATGTTCCCTGAAATTCCGAGCCCCCAAAACCCTCTTAAAGCAAATCGAGTCCCTAACCCAGTTTTATGCCTGAGCGGGAAGCCCTACAGTCATCTCAGACTTGACGGCATCGTACGATACTGTAACTGATATCCCTAACCATGTAGTGTTGTTTGACATCTATCCCCGAGTGTCGTCAAAACCCTAAACCCTGCCCCTTCGGGTATACCCTAAACTACCCGACGCCCTACTAAACCAACAATCCTAAACCCTAAACCCACACCAGGAACATGGTTTCACTGATCTGACCTGGCTGCATCCACAGACCCTCGGTGGATTTTATCAGCACTGTCAGACTATGTCAGTATGTGGGTAGTTATCTGATCTAGAGTTCTCTATAGTGACCGTAATAATCAGAATAGGGTTTTGGGGCTGATTCTACTATATTTATAATAAGGAACCCCCCAAAAGAGTGTTGGCAATTATACAGGCCCCTACATGATTTTGAAAGGTGCCGTACTTTTGGGGATCTAAAAATGGACCCGAATTCAACGAATTGCCCACATGCATCTCTTGTTCCTCACCTATACATGGTTGCAGGCATGCAGTAGAGCTTGATAGGCACTCCGGTATAATTTCTAGATTTTGTTCACGGCATGGGCCCTTGTGTCGAGAGCTTTAGCTGGGAGTTTAGAAGGTCGACACCTTCCGCTTTGCACGGGTATTTGCCCCTTAGCCCTTTGGGGTCGGCATAGCTAGTCACGACGCTGCTTTGTGGTCCCTAATATGCCCCAAAACTCTGTTCTCACTTGTCAGGGGTTATCTACTTTTCAATGACCTGCCTCCTGCTTGCTGCTTCTGGGCTGCGGCATATATGGTTCAGGGTTTTAGGGGTTTGCAAGTACGCAACTGTCTTGTGAGTCCTGCTTCTACTGCGAACCCTTCACGGGAAGCACTGATCAACATATACTTCCGCACGAAATTCGTGAACCCCAGTTCTTCCACCTACTTGTATGAAATCGCCAGCAAGCAGTCTTGAGCTGCTATACCCTAAACCCGACAAGAAGCCCTCGTGGAAACTCCCTCGCAAGCTTCACTACCGAAGACGGAGGACTGGTTGGGCCACGGTTGCCACCGGCCTTTACGCCTCTCACCTTCTGCTGGCATTTGTGTGTTCCGCAAGGATTGATAGAATTCATGCAGTTATATAAGTTTTGGGTGTCAGCTGATAACAGGAACCAGGGATTTAGAGCGCGCGCCTCAAAGGAAGGTGGAGAGGCTGAGGCATTGGGTCTAGGGATGTTCATGATGTAGATGTTGCAAGGATTTGTATGCGGTGTTGCGCAGGTTCGTAGCTACGTTTGTTATCTATATTTTTTTTGTGTTCATGGTATGTGTGTTACTAACTAGAGTTCTAATTCATTCCTAAGAGCATTCAGGGCTTGCTACAATGGCACCACGTCCTACAAGCCTTAAACTGTAAAAGCCCTCAGCTACATCCTATAGCGCCCTGAACCCTAAACCCTAAACATTATATCCTGCACCCCAAAACCCAGGACACAAAATCCTAGACCCTCAAGTCTAAAGCCCGGTTCCTTCAAGCTTCCAGAGCCCTGGTTTAGGGTTCAGCGTTCAGGCTTCAGGGTGTAAGGTTTAGGTTTAGGGGTGTACCAGGACCCCCCAAGTGCCTCTCAATAGAGCCCTTGTGGCCCTTAATAGTTGGTGGTCTAGGTGAGGTTTGGACTGAGGGGTTTAGGGGTTTAGGGCTTAGGGTTTAGGGGTTTAGGGGGTTTGGGTTTAGGGCTGGGGTCCTGCTACAACCTGTAGGACACCAAGCACTACGGTTCGCTGTACAAAACTTATATTCTGAAGTGTCTCTCTCTGGAGCATAGGCATGCTGTGAGAAACGCTGCTGCTATTGGTGACTAGCTGTATGTTTGTACTTGTTCTCAACCATTGCTTCTGTTCTGATTTATAGATTTATAACACTACTCCAAGCCCTAAACCCTAAACGCTAGAGCCTGCAATCCGAAGCCCCTCAAATCAGAGGCTAGTAACTTACTAAGTTCGCACCGCAACCCAAACTCCAAAAGCCGGGGGAGCCCTTTCGACAAACGAATGTGTAAACGAAGCCTGGAATCCCTATAACCTGAGCCTGCAAGGACTGCACGCCCTTAGTCAGACTATAAGTACACCGTAAAAGGGGAATAAACAACAGACGCGCTTATGCAATCCAACAAGCGTTACAACCTTCCAAATCCCCAACGGGTGGTATACCACGCCATTAGACCAAGAATCACCCAAAGACCTTTAACCGCAACAGGAAACAACCCAAACCCTCTCTGCAACAGGAATTACTAACCTCCAACCAAACAACACCACCTCAAACCCTAAACCCAAGCACCCTAAAAACCCTAAACCCTATAAACCCTATAAACCCTAAACCCCTAAACACCCTAAACCCTATAAGCCCTAAACCCAAGAACCCTAAAAACCCTAAACCCTATATAAACCCTATAAACCCTAAACCCTACAAAATAGTAGGTTATGACCCCTTAATTAGAGGGTCTAACCCCTAAAACGGTAGGTTTTTGGATCCACAGGTAAACCCTAAACCCCTAAACACTCAACACTAAGCCGAAACCTCAGGCTTTCGGCGTGGCCTATGTATTTCTCCAGAACAAGTACAGCAACCCTTACCCTAAGGCTCAAAATGGCCCAAAAGCCTTACATAGTATGGTCTTTAGGCCCAAAAGCCTTAAAATATGAGTCCTTAGAGCCTTAGGGTTATAGACCCCTTTGAAAGGAGCCCGTCTGAAACAAAAACCCAAAGATACACCCCAAAACCCTATTCTATTTATTAAGGCCCCTATATTGCCTTCAACCCACCCTGAACCCCAAACCCTCAACTCTAAACCCCTGAATACCCCCAAAGCTCGACATGGTCCATAGTCTCATGGAACCCTGTTTGTACCCCTTTTCGACCCCTTTTATTATAGTTTCCTTAGGAAGTATCTTTTTGAAAGAAATCTTTGCTCATATAAAACCAACAGAATACTAACACTAGTAATTTTATTATGGCGTATAGTTTAAACCCCCAAATATACCCAAATGTATCCGAAGCCCTAGACCTCTAAACCCTAAAACACTAAAGCCCTAAACCCTGAAACCCTGAACCCTAAAACCCTAAACCACATAGCTATCGCGGCTCCTATGCTGCAGAGATTGCTAGTGGGCGGCGGGGAAGTGAATTGCCCGTTCTCTGGTGCAGTTGACATCTGCGTCAGAGAGAATGGCACTATCGAAGCGTATGAGGTTACGCTTAACGAGAGGTCCAACCGCCGAAAGATGTTCAAAAGAGAACAGCGGATGGTCCGCGGTAAGCAGCAGAAAGCTTCCCTCTCACGCAAGAAGCAGCGCAAAGCTTCTAAATTTGTGAAGGTGAGAGGAGCTCGCAATCCCACGCGTCTTTCAGCCGCAATTTACAACAAGCTGAAGCAAGCAGACTCTGCATTGGCCAACGACCCTAACCGAAGGGATAAAGTCAATCAGGTTTATGGCCGCTTGATGTATTTGCAGTCGAGAATAGACGAGCTATTGCTTGCGGGCGAAGAAGGTGATGCTTCTGAGTTGTTTGAGCTCGAACAGGAGCGGGATGACACCATCAGGGAGTTTTCATCCCGCGTTGAGGGTACCAGCCGCAGAGCTGCTATCGATTCTTACGTTCCTAGTCGCAGACAGCGATGGGCGGACATGGACGATGATGACGACTTCGACAACGGTCACGTATGGGACGAGAGCGTTGTCATTGAAGCTTCTTTCTCTGATGCCATTGAAGAAGCTACGGAGGAGTACTCTGTCGTCCAGCCAATGCCGTGCGCCGAAGGCGTTCGCCAGGTCCATGAGTTGGATACTGAAGCCCCTTGGACCTCGACCGTCACGCCAGATGAGCTGGCTGACGATCTCCCTGTATTGGCGCCGAATGGTGCGAAATGGGTCGTTTGCACTGATTTCTACACTATGCAGAAGTCTTTGCTTGACCTCCCTTTGTCAACCGACAGCCAAGTCATCATGTCCGAGGTCAGCGTCTTTGTTGACGACGAGCATGACGTCCGCGTTTTCAACCCGCTGGGCGTATACATTGGCCGTAAGACCAAGTGGAGGTTCGATGGCAGCCATTTTCTCGAGTTTGATGAGACTGGTGCCCCCCACACCTTTCTAGTATCTTGGAGTGAAGGCCATCCAAGCACGGATGGTAGGATTTACGTTAAGCACTTCAAGGGAAGGCCAAAGCATCAGAGAAAGTTGCCGCTAGTGATGACACATCCAGCGGTAATCAGAAGAGCACCAAGCCCTATTATAAGGACAATGTCTTCACTCCCGAGTCAACGATTCGAGCGCGCACTCCTTTGCTTGCCAATCTCGACGAGAATGGCAAATACAACATCACAGGTGATGTGCGAGACGCCGCTTTGAAACGTTTTCTTTCTGACGACGGAGTTTTCGCTGATCTTAGCGTCCTTTACAACATGCCCGTGGGGTGCATTACCTCACAGCCAGAGTGGGCTTTGTACGAGGACTATAGGTCGTACGGCGACTTGCAGTTCTTAGAGCCGGATGACATCATGCCTGGAGCCGACGGGTCAGCCATTTTCCGACACGTTGGCCATGCTAAAGCGCTTCCGAAAGCGCCAGGCAATGATGAGCCTCTGAAGCCATCACGGCGGTATCATTCAGCAGTAGCCAAAGTTATGAAGAACGCTACTGCGAAGATTGCCCGTGAATTAGAGCGGACGATGTCGAGCAGGACTTGGATGTGGAATATGCTCTCCTTCAGAACTGGGAGGAACTTCAAGAGAGGCACGGGGGCCGTGAGTACAGTTCCTGGCGCGAACTTTGAGGAGTATGAAGGTGTCCGTCTGGGGTCTGTCAAACTTCCTGCTGGACTACATATGACGATACGATTCTGATCTACCTATGCCATCTGCTCTACTACCCTCGTCGAGCTTCGCGTGTACTACATACGACGGTGGATGTTTTCTCAATGCTGCTACAAAGTGCAGCTGTTTCACCATGTGCCTCGGCGCGAGGGGATTCGATGGGAGGGTCGGGTCTAACACATGTAAAAAAAAACCCTAAACCCTAAAACCTTAAATTTATCCCGAAACCCGAGGCCTTCGACATGGTCCGTTTCTTTGGCCTCGTGAAGCCCACCTCCACTGAGGCCAAACACCACCGGGCCCCAGAGGTCCAAGTACCTATTAGGGTTTAGGGTTTAGGGTTTAGGGTTTGGGTGGTTGTCAAAATTAGGGTCCCTTTTTGAGTACTCTAAAGTCCAAGTACCTAAGAAAGCATATGGGTGGGTGTCAAAATTAGGGTCCCTTTTTGAGTACTCTAAAGTCCAAGTACCTAAGACAGCATATGGGTGGTTGTCAAAATGAAGGCCCCTTTTGGGGTTCCTATAACAATACGGCACCTATGATTTAGGGTACCCAAACAAGGGGCCATAGTTTTGACAACCACCCATACGGGTTTTAGGGTTGAGGGTGTATAGGGTTTAGGGTTACACTCTCCATAATATCCAAAAACGTCAATAATTTAGTATTCAGTTGTGGGATTGTACTTATGTACGCTAGTCTTTTGGGGAGTATATGACTATGAAATGATCATATACTCTCCGAAAAACTAGCCTACATAACTACTATCCTAAAGCCGAGTACTTAGTTATTGGGTCTTTCGGACCCTTCGGGTAGAGGGGGGGTTGTGTTGAGCGCCTTCTTTTGGGCTTTGGGCTTAGGGTTTAGGAGCTTCAGGGTTTAGGGGCTTTCTGTAGGGTTTTACGGTTTACGGTTCCAGGGTTTTGGTGTTTTAGGGCTTGTAACATTGTAGGGTTTAGGATCGAGGGCTTTGGGCTTAGGGTGTAGGATGGCCTTCCTATGTTGATTGAAGGGCCTCTGAGGGTTTAGGGGGTTTCAAGATCATTTCGATGTGGTAGAAGGTTTGGTTCATTGGCTCGGCTGTCTTGAGGGGCTTAGAAGGTCTCTTCAGCTTGGGCGTTGTGCAAATGTCACGTTTTCATCTGGTTCGATAGGTTTTGTATGGGGTTCCTGGGGTTCCCTTAAAGAGGTCTGCTGTAACTGTAAGGGTTAGGCTCTGGCGGCTGGGGTTTCGGTGTGTTGGGCTTTGGGGCTTGGTGAATGATGTAGGTGTTGCTTCAGGGTCTCACAGATTTTGCTTTCATCGTTGGTGGCTCTGGGCTGTTTATGTTCGTTTGGTTCTTGGCTTAGGGCTTACCTTAACCCGGAATAACCTACCTTTTTAAGAGCCGATATAAGGAAATCATAACAAGGAACCCTAAAAAGGTATGTTATTCAGGGTTAAGGTAGGGTTGAGGTCACAGCTTCCCCCACATCGCAGCCCAGATCTTCCAACATAACTTGGTCATGGTGAGGTGAGCGGTATTATGGGAGTTTCCGAGAATTGGGGACCCTAAAATAGCACCCTAAATAGTAGGATCCTTCTTATAAGGACCCCAAAATAAGTTACTCGGAAACTCCCATATTCGGATATTGATATCAAGTCCCCACGCAACTCTCTTCGCGGTTTCAGCGAGGTTGTGCTGAGCCGGCTCAAACGCAACATCCACCTTGCCAGACACTTCATGGCGAAACACGGACGGGGCCGGACGGCACGCAAGGTAATCGTCGCGGCAATGCTGGCTGCTCAGGCAGTTCAGTTTGACTCCGTGCATTGAAACTGGCAAGAAGCGCACATATGCATATTCTCAGCAGGAGATCCCCCTACACCCCTAGCCCTAAACCCCGAAACCCTGAGCCCAGTCGAAATCCGGGGGCACAGATATGGTCATGGAATACATTGCTTAACCCACACTATGGGGCCCACAACAGATCAGCCGCAAAAGACCCTGCCACACTTACAGGCCTCATAAGCCCTTCAAGAGCCCACAGACGCTCATCGTCTTGTGGTTGGGGATTGAGGTTCAGGGTCTAGTTTCGGGGGTTTAGGGTTGAGGGTTTGGGTTCTGCGTTCAGGCGGGTCTAAGGCTGTGATTTTGCGGTTGAGGCTCTACCTGCATCCCAACTGGGATATAGGTAGTTCTCGAAATTAGGGTCCCTTCTCAGGTCCCCAAAATAGTACGGCACGCTTGTAGCAAAAGGACCTAAAAAAGGACACTAATTCGAGAAGTGCCCAATATATAGAATATAGAATCCCTACAGACACCCTTGTACATCTCTTTTGAGGGGCCCGAACAGGCATCCTAGGAGAACTACCCATATGCCAGGATTACGAGTGAGATACGATTGATTAGAGAAATCCTGCATTACCCATAACAAGGAGTATACCAACAGAAAGCCCCATAGCTTAGGGTCCGTAGGGTAATGCAGGATATATATATATATATATATATATCATCACCCTAAACCCTGAAAACCCTGAAGATCCTTTAAAGGTACCCTCATAGATCCCTTCAGAGGAACCCCCTAGATTTCTATCATCAACCGTATTCCTTAGGCCTGGGACCGGCAGTTGATAGAGGCCTCGAAAGGGTTTAGGGTTTACCAGGCCCCCCCAACGGCCTTTAATAAGAGCAGTTGTGGTCCTGAAACGTGGGTATTTGGGGGTTTCTAGGTCGGGTTTAGGGTTGAAAGTTTAGTGCCCGGAGCCCTACATCCTTAACTTGCGGTAACCCTAGGACCCTAAACTCTATCCAAAGCACCAAGCCGCGACTACAAAGGTCGGTGGGTTTAGGGTTGGCTGGTAATGCCATAAATCAAAGACCCTATAGTAATAGCATGTAAGATATTGAGTTAACCGTAAACCGACATGGTGCCAGGCACTGGTTGCCATCTTGATCTACCTTGGCCTCTATACTTCTCGATTCGAGGCACGGAGATGTCGGATTCGCTGTTTGCTTCAGTTTTTCGAGTTTGTCGTCAGGCTCGAGAGTTTAGGTTTTAGGAAGTAGGGGATTGTGAGGTTTTGGGATTACGACGTAAACCCTCAACGATAAAACCTGAACCTTGATAACCTCGCAGCAGCAAGGTTTTTGGCTAACGGGTACTCGCTTAGCGTTACGCGTAGCTTGTTCTGTGTGCCATCATGAAATCCTTGAGGCTAGGGATTCCGGTGAATTTCACGAGTTCTCTAAGGGTTCCTTGAAGCATCTACCAGTCGAGAGTTCTATACTATACGTATGAATATGCAGATTAGGGTTCGTGCTGAAACTCCAGAAGCCCTTCACAAAGCCTTGGTCGAGGGTTGCTGAGTATGACAGCGGAGCCCTAACCCGTAGACTTCCTTACTACACCCTAAGCCCTACTCCCTAAACCCTGATCCCCAAACCCTGATCCTAAACCCTAAACCCTAAACCCTGATCCCTAAGCCCTAAACCCTATAATCCCTAAACCTTAATCCCTAACCCCTATAATGCCTAAACCCTAAGCTAAGCGATTTCAGGTATACCCCTTGGTTGGGATGGCAGGCCGTAGGGCAGCCTAAACTGGCCCAAATCCGAAAGGCCTACTACAGGGGCCGAAATAATTACCCTTACTATTTTGGGGTTTAAGGGCTACTTTAAAGGGGTCTACAAGCGATGCTATAAGGGATCTATAAAGGTACTATAATACAGGGGCCTAAATAATCACCCTTACTATTTTGGGGGTTGCTTATTCTGATTATAGTATACTATACCCCAAAACCGCTATTGCACTTATTAAGGCCCCTGTATTGCACCCTCAACCTTGCCAGAAGCCCCCCAAGGGAACTTGAATAGCGCCGTTATGGTCCTGAATAGTGGGTATTTGGGGTATATAAGAGGGTAGTTCGGGGGTCTAGGTGAACTTCGAAACCTTAGCCTTAGACCAACCCCAATTCCCAAACGTCGGGTGTATGCATGTGTGTTTTGGCACAGGAGATCAACAAGATGGACAAGCACTACCAGGCACACTGCAAAATGTCCAACACAGCGGTCTGACTAGTTCCTGGCACCATTCCTGCAAAACCACCGTTTTAAGTATACTATTACCATAACATGCCCCAAACCTTTTCTAATGACTAAGGCCGCTACAGCAGGCTCGCAACTTCAGGTTTCAGTGTTGAAACTTCTCAGAGAGAAGATTCAAACTAACTTGTCTCTCCAGTGGGTTTTGGATTGTGTTTTGATAAGTTTTTCATGGACCTGTTTTTAGCAGCGCTGAGCATTAGCTTTGAACGGCCTTTACCGGGAAAAGCTGATTGGAGCTAGAGGCTGTGCATAAGCCTCAATTAAACTTAAACTTAAACCCAATGTACCGAAATAGGGAGTACTGTAAGTCCAAAGTTTATACTAGTGCTATTTGGGGGAGTTCGCGCACGATGTAGCGTTTGGGGATTGTCGTAAGCCCAAAACCTCATAAGCCCTATGCCCCAAAACCCTACGTTTGGATAGTTGTGCGTGGTGGGTACTATCCATTATGGAATGCCAGGACCTTATCGGGGCCATCCGGAGTGTGTTTCTTTTGCTTAGGCTTCAGTACATTCGTTTACTGTGAGTAGCGATACATACTCTCTCTCGTCTCTCTCTCTCTCTCTCTCTCTCTCTCTCTCTCTCTCTCTCGCTCTCTGAGTCTCTCATTTTCTCCACATGCGTATGTGTAACAGGGTGTATACACACACCTGGTTTTTATATGTATATATGTAAATACATGTGTATATATATATATATACATATATACACACATCGCCTTCGCTCTGTCATTATATATACACATACACACATTCATTCATTCATTCACGGCAGGTCTCTCAGTCAGCGTTGACTAATGCCTGAGCAAGAGGCATCCTACGGCCTCGGTATATACTCAAACTCCTTGCCTTTGAGCGGCAAGTCTTGCAAACAGTTGAACCTGTCTGCGCACGACCTGTCTGGCGACACGCAGCTCAGAAGCTGCCAGATCTGCCCCCGCTCTACTTCTCAGAGCGCCCTGTACTGATCTACGGCATACTTCTGGTGCATCGCACCCACGAACAAACTCAGAGGCCTATTCCCTCTAGCTCACTCAGTAGGCGTTGCAACTCTCTGGCTCCCCCACTCTTCGGTGGTAGACCCCGCTTCAACTTAGCGCCCCTGTTGACGAAGCACTTGGTGAGAGCAGCTAAAACTGGCTCCAAGGAGGGATGCACAGAGAAGTGCACCCGAAGCTGGCGTTTGTCGTAGCAGCGTCTGGTGCGGCAGACGAAGACTAGATCCAACAACATCTTGGGATCAGTAATGCTCTCGGCGTGCTTCTTCAAAATCTCTTGCGAGTCTTTGGGGGCCGACTCGTCTGTGATGGCGGCCAAGATCATGGCAGACCAACCGTAGATGTGTGGCTCTCCTTCATCCTCCGTTCTTGTCTGGTTAGCTCGTGCGTCCTTGCCCTCCGGGTTGCCCTTGTGCAAGTGCTGCGTCTTCGCAATGAACTCTTGCACTGCGTTTTGGTGCTCGATGAGGTATGGGTCGTCCCTGGTACTCAAGATGGTGCGGAAGGTAGCGGCTTCAAGCTGACTGATGGCCAGGTCGTGTTTGAGGGTCAGCTTGGCCACCAAATCGATGATCTTGTTGCGGATGTCTTCAACCTCATGAGTCGACACCTGCTTGGGCTCCTGGTGCTTGACTTTCTTGTGTGCTGGGAGGCCTTTGAGCCACGAATCCATGCTTCGTTCGAGGCACAGAAGGTCAGCTCTACTGTTGGTCCTGCCAAGCTGAGTGTGTAAGCCGACTTCACGGAACAAGGATGTATGGTCCTGCCACGTGAGTAGTGATGCACGCCAGCAACGACTCCACATTCTCATGTTCCTGCAAACAGAAGCTACACTCCATTGACTGCGGATGTTCAATGGTGAAGGTATGATTGCTTGACCTACCACTGCACTTGCGTTTGCTGATAGCCATTCGGATGTGCGTTCTAGCAACACGTTTGCTGGCAAATATGGCTCTACACCATGGACAGACATTCGACACAGTGGCTTTGGCATCCGCAGGCACCTCGCCATGGGTGCCTCCCTTTGTGGACCGTATGTGCATGGCCAACTGCTGCTTGGTTTTGAATGCTGCACCGCATGTGCCGCCATCGGGCAGTGTGCACGTGCAACGATAAGAGCACGCATCGCCATGCACTTCAACATCAGCCGCCAGCGGTTCCTCTTGCGAGCCTGGTGGGGGTATTGCGACTGATTGGTAGGCACGCTTGAGTACAGTGACGTCAACTTGTACAAACTGCTCGCGAAGATGTGTGAACAAGAGTAATGGTTGATCGCCCATGTCTCGCACCAGCATGTAGCCATCGTCGTGCTCAGCGAGTATCTGTACATCTGCGTACAACTGTTGAGCCCATGACCCCGCTGCTGGCGTGAGTTTGCCTGCTTCATCAAGAGGTGATGCCGCTTCCCATTTAAAAGAACCGAACACAACAGCCAGCACTGGAGTGTGTGCCGCAATGTTGCGGGCAACCGCCTGCCAAAACTGAAGTCGTCTGACGGCTAGCTCAATTGAAGTAGGCACCAACTCAAGATACTTCCACACTTTGCGACTGGGTAATGACTCGGTGGACCCATCTTCAGAAACGAGTTTGACACATGCTTCTCCGCGCATAAGCTGGCGGCCATATGACAGCACTTTGCTGTCAATTCGCTGCAACTGTGTTTTGGTAAGACAGCATGCTTCCAATCCAGACAACAAGGTGTTGTAAACCAATGCAGTAAACATGAGAACAAGGGGTCGTCTGGCCATCCGGCCGTGTGACCAAAACTTTCCCATGATCGCCCAGCTCTTGTCAGCAGCTTGTATTCATACATACATACATACATACACATGTGCTTGCATGTAGGTCGCCATGTGATTCGTATAAAAGTGAGAGGTCTGACAGTACAAGGTGGTTTAGGGTTTAGGGTTTAGGGTTAAAGAGCATGCTCAGCTAGGCTAGCTGGGCGGATGGACACTCGCAAGAAGCGGCGTGGAAGATCATTATCCGAAGTTCCTTTAAGCTATAATGCAGAGATCGCGCACAAGTCTAAACCCTAAACCCGAAACCCCTGAATCCTGAACCCTTCCTAATCCATGCTCCTAAGGTTCGGTGGTTGCTGACCCCGAAATCCCAAACCCTAGACCCGGAATCCTTCAACCCGCTTAAGCTCTAAACCCCTAAACCCTCAACCCCTAAACCCTGGTTGTCCTGGCAAGGTGAGCTTCTACGCATCGTGCGGGTGGACGTTCTACGCTTTGGCGCCTCGCTCTGTGTGAGCAATTGCTGGGTTCGTTTTAAGGTATTATTTCTAGTTACCATAAAAAGGAAGCCATCTAATCTACCGTAATTAGATCCCTATGATGGTAAATTAACTGATATTTTCGGAGCAGAAACCATATTATGTTATGTGCAATAATTTGGTTCCTGTAATCATAACTTTAAGTATTTATCGGAGGACCCCCGAAACTGCAAAGTTTCAAGACAGCGGCTCGCAGGGGATCTTTCGGTTCTTTCAGAACTGTGCTCTGAGGTTTCTATCAGGGCTTCAACAGGTTTCATCACCCTGAATGAACGGGTATTCCGGAAATCTTCCCTGAACCCTCACCCCCCCAAACCCTAAACCCCGAACCCTAAACCTTGTTAAAACTCTATAAGCTCTAAGTCGTCCCTCCCTGTGGCGAAGGCCAGCCTCATCCATGCCTTGTCCTATGGCCCTGATCCTCTTCTCGATCGAGGACGGCTGGTCTTCTTCCGGGTGTAGGACCGTACTTGGAGGATCATGGGACTTAGTAACTAGGGTAACCCCACTTTGGTACTTATGACCCTCCAAGTAAGGGTCCATGTACCCAAATAGGATATACTGTAGCCTTCAAGTATTCCCTAATATTCAGGTACATCGGGGCCAAAGTATATACTACTTGGGTACATGAACTCTGAGGGGAAGGGTTTAAAGACTTTTTGAGCATTGGGGGTTTCGGCTTCCATGGCATCTGAGGGTTTGGGGCTAAGGCGGTCTAAGCTTTTGATGGTTGACAGTTCAGGGTTTAGGACGGCTACCGTTCTTTGCAGTGCTTAGACGGGCGTTTTATGTGCTTGACAATACCCATAGGCCCCAAAGTAGTTCCTTTTTGGATTCTATATATGAACCCCAGAAGGGAACTGCTTTGGGGCCTTTGGGTAGCATCATGGTGCCGGCCGTGGTAACCGAGCGCTGCTGCGCTTTGGAAGTTCGCTATAACTTCCACCCAAGAAGAGGCCGACCTCATCAAAGTGCTGCTGCAAAAAGCAGCCCAGGCACTTCTATGGACGCATTCGCAGAAGCAGCAGTGCATCCGCCGCCTGTATGTCCAGGACAAGCAGCGAAAAGGGCTTGACAAGAGGGCTTTGAGGTAGGCTAGCTGTGGTGTTGCATGGGCCTAGATCGTGTCCCAAGACCAGTATTCTCGGTATTCTCTCGGTCCCTAGGCGTTCGAGTTTCGATTGAATCTTAATTGTAATCGTCAAGGCTCATACAGTCGCATCTTAGCATGTTCAAACTCTGTTTCGATCGGGGCTTCCAGGCAGCTTCACGCAGTACTGACCACTTTTTCCGTGGTAGTAGAGCAAGTAAGCCGCAGCCCGTTTGCATGCGGTACTACAACCGCTTTATGATATGGCCTTTGCAATCCCAAAGCTTAGCCTTTATTTCCTTTCGGAAGCTGGACAAGTATTATAGGAGCCTTAATATTAGAATAGGCTTTTGGGGCCGGCCCATTATGCTGTAATTAGAGTAAAGAAATCCCAAAATAGTATACGTAATTATTTGGGCCCCTATTTATAGTAGCCTTATAGTATTCCTTAAAGAACTATAGTTAAAAGTTAAAGGAGCCCCCCCCCAAAAAAAATAAAAAAAAGACAACATTGTATAGGTAATGTTTAATTTCCAGGCCCCTACAGAAAGTCTTTGCTCTTCTCTGTGCCGGACCAAGAGCCGAATCCCCGCAGGATCCAAGTCACCGCAAAGACCCGATGAAGCCCTATATCGGATTATGTTTAGGGTTTAAGGTTTAGGGTTCAAGGTTTAGGGTTTAGAGTTGAAGGTTTAGGGTTTAAGGTTTAGGGTTTAGAGTTGAAGGTTTAGGGTTTAAGGTTTAGGGTTTAGAGTTGACGGCTTAGGGTTTAGGGTTGAGGGTTTGAGGTTTGGGGTTTACTTGGAGGATCATGGGACTTAGCAACTAGGGTTCCGTACAGGGCCATGAAAAGTGATCGATAAGGGTTCTATACGAGGGGTTTTAGGGTTACTTAGAGGATCATGGGACGTATAGTAACCAGGGTTATAACTAAGGTAACTATACTTGGTGTAGTTGCTTATAACCCGACTTCAGGTACTTATAACCATACTTCCTAATCATGGTCCTAAGCCCTTTACCCCGAACCCTTATGTAAGCCCTCAACCCTCTGAAGCCGTAATCCAGTAGCGAGGCAGCGCCGATTCCCTGCACACCGCGGGCGCTTGGGTTTTCCTGGCCAGCTGCGCGTACTTTTACAGTGCCGGTTCTGCAACTGGCGGACTTTTGATTTACTCGGAGGATCATCGGACTTAGCAAGTAAGGTTGTAAGAACCCTAAGTGGGGTCAGAAGCATTTATAAGTAAAGTTACCTTCTTTATAGCCCTAGTTACTAAGTCTAAGTAGGGTTGGGGGTTGGGGTTTCAGGGTTTAGGGCTGGTAATTACTGGACTGGCTTTGCAACCGTTGGGCTTTCCTGGAAGATGTAGGGTGTAGGGCGGGTGTTAAGTGTGTTGCCTTCGAGGGGTGCACAAGTTCTTGTAGGGGGTAAAGGTTTCAGGATTCAGGGTTTAAGGCTGTAGAAGGGTTTTAGGATTGAGCAATTAATAAACTGTTTTTTGAGGGGTTCGATTGTGAATCTGAATATAAGGCTTCTGTTCGCAAAGGGTCCTAAATCTCCAGATAATAGAATGTAGTATTTCCATATCCGGGTTTACTATCATGATTTGGGGCAGTATCACCCATACACGGGACTTAGACTTAGACCCTTAAATCCTCAAAGCGTGAAGCCCTCAACCCTAACCCCCTAATGCCTAAACCCTTCGGGTTTAGGGTTTAGATTTATGGTTTAGGAACAAAGGTAGAAAGAAGATTTCCGAAAGTTGAGTTGTGAGGTCGGCTTGTCGTTGTGCCGTTTCTGGGACCCTCAGGCAGACTTGACGCTCAGTGTTCACAGCGTGGGGTCTAACTTTTGTCCAAGGGGTTGGTTTCGCCATTCCGTTCGCAGTGTACTATATAGGGGCCTCAATAATTACCCGTACTATTTTGTGGGTTCCTCATAATACTAGTAGTATAATGGGCCCCAAGACCCTATATTGGTTATTAACGCCCCTATTCTAGGGTGTGTAGATAATTTAAGGGAGGTTGGGATTGTCACTCTTGAGGTTAGCGCAGGCTACCATTGTCTAGTTCAGCATACACACGTAGCTATGCATGAGTCACACATTATGAGGCAGGGTCGCACACAGCATCTAGACAATCCGTCTTGAAGTTCGAGATTGGCTTCAGTAATTATTGCTTTCAAGGATCTTGCAATCCTAATCCTAAGCCCCGAACCCGTAAACGTTATCCCAAGGCTGATACCAGAATTTGCCCCAAACCACTCTTCTACCTTGTGGAAACCGTGTAGGGTTAAGGGTTTAGGAGTGTATAGTGCCGATGACAACCTGCAGAACCCTCCAGGAACTCTGTTTAGAACGATGTGAGGCTACCATTGGGGCCGCATGGCCAGGCACGTCCAGGCGCCCGGGTGATGGAAAGGTTTACCTTAAGCGACCATAACTTGCTTTGCTGTTTGTAGGTTATATAACATTCAACCTTAACATGGAGTACATCGGGAGCCTGCAAACAGGCAGGTTTTGGCATCTTAACGTGGCGCTCTTCCAGCGACACCCCTTCTTGTTCATGGAATCCGAGGGCGCCCAGACTGTTCAAGATCTGCAGTTTACTGTAGGGCTTATAGGGTTCAATTAGGCTTCTTTTGTAATGCATTTCTTTTATCACAAAAAGACTTGAGTCGGGCTTGTACCCTCGTCCCTAAACCGTGTCCCGTGTGCTTCGGGATTTCGGTGTGCGTTCAGGCTTGAAGTATGTTATGGTCTCCCCAAAATCGAATAGAGTCCTAACCTAATTAGGTGTTCTGGATATTCAGATATTCACCTAAGGCTGCAACACCCCATACTGATTCAAGTCCATACCTTTCTGTTGGTCCTATCAGGCTTACATCCAAGACCAAGGAACACATCCAGCGCTGAAGCCAAGACAAACTGATAAACCGTACTGGACTCAATCCTTGACAGCCGGACTGAAACCTATCGAGTTTTGTTTTAAACCCTAAACCCCAAACCGCTTAACCCTTAAACCCTTAACCCCTAAACCTTGAACCCTAAACCCTGAACTCCAAGCTCTGAACCCTGAACCCCCAAAGCCATTACAGAACCCGCATATCTCCCCAAAAGATGCAAAACTGGCCTTATAATACAGTATGTAAAACAGGTTTGGGCTATGCTGCGGTACATATATGTGGGACAATGATTAGGGAAGGATTCAGATCCCGGTATTAAGCAGGAGGGGCGCTTCCGACCGTACTTCGCGCTTGGGCTTGCGAGCCTGACTTTTGTCCACGGCCTCACTGCCCGGGTGCCAAGGGTGCTTTATGTAGAAGCCGAATAATTCATAGGGATCCTTAGGGGTGTAGGGGGGAGGGGTGTAGGGGACTATATTTCCTTAAATAGGCCTTATTAGTC